CCAAGAAACTGTAAATAGTAAGAATAATCAATAGTACCTACTTTAGTATTAAATTATAAAGCAATACCATAGTAATGAAAACATTAAGATAGTGATGTGTGACTGATAAGATAATCAGTGCATTACAAAGAGAATGGAAATTGATTATAATGTATGTAGGAATGTGAAATAAAACAAATGTGATATTTCAATTGGATAAGATAAGGATGATTGATTTCATGAATAATGCTGGCACTGTTGACTTTTGTCTCAAAGTAACTCAAGTTGGTCCCACACTTCACACCACAGATATTTTCTAAGAGATTTAAGAGACAACAAGGTAACAAAGGAATCAAAGAAATACTTAAACATGAGAAAAAAGCCAGTATAAAAGCATGATTCTTTGTAAATTTAAGCATAGCTGGCGAGTGCCTACACAAAATTAAAGGACATATGAGTTAGGAAATGTATTTTTTCATGTATCGGGAAATATATAATAATATATATAATATTAAAATTGATAAGAAAAAAGAGTCAAAGATATGATTAGACATGTTTCCAGATTAACAACTCAAAATGGCCAAGAACTGCATGAATGTAGATATGAAATTCTCAGCTTTCTATAGGCACACCTCCACACAGACATACATAAACCTCCCTCGCATATATCAAATGCAAGAAATGAAAATGAGTAAAATTACCTCTGAGGGGAGAAAAGCTATACTTTCTTATATTACTCATGAAAATAAGAATCTCAACAGCCATTTTGAAGAATAATTTTATATAACCACACTTTTATTTTTATACATACCACAGAAACGAAAGCACTACTGCTCAAAGACTAACATACAAATAATAGCAAGTGCATCTAATTCCGGGTGGTACAGCAACAGTGAGCTGGTTGAATACATCAGTCTGTTCATGTTATGGAATAGAACTCAATTATTAGACACAGTACTTGAAGGGAAAATTTCCACAATGTATAGTGATATATAATAAATAATATACAGAGAAAGGGAAATAATATAACCACAATATTATAAAGTAAACAATACATATTTTTACAGGGAAAATGTGAATAATAAACACTGTTTACAATTCTGGTTTTTTGCAGAAATGCAGTAAGAGTAGCGGAAGAGAGAAATTCAATTAAGCCTTTTGTGGCATGGTAGGAAACAGCATAAAATTGTATAGTTAATTTATTTGTGCACATCTATCTATACAAATATAAAGTGATGTAGGAAGAGATCATCTCCAATATGTTCATAGTGAAGAAAAGAAGCAAGAACATGAAGCCCTATTGATGCATTTTATGGAAATGCTTTGGCACTTAGAGGTTCAAAATGAAAGTAGAATTTATTTATCAGTAATTTTCCAAAGAAGTATCAGACTAATGTAGAAATAGGTTTCTGGGACTTGAGCATATTCTTTTGGCCATTGAGAGTAGAGTGATTTGTTTTTTAATAATTAAAAGTTATCTGTAATTGTTTAAGGTTAAGATTCAAAAAGAGTAATGGGTCCTTTTAGAGGTGTTTGTGTGTGTGTGTGTGTGTGTGATGTTTTAGTAATTTTGTTATTAAAGTTATTCCTACATGCTTTATTATTGTATTGCCAATTTAAATATGATGTTTGCATGGAATAATTAGATTGATTTTGATTGAAGTTTTGTAAAGTCTCAGAGAGACTCTTAAAAGTGAGTTGTGTGGCAGTGAGTCCACAGCCTCATAGATTACATTGAAAAGGTGATCTTTGTATACACTCAGGTGTACAAATTGATAAATGTTAAAAAACATTTTCATAATTTTATAGCCACACTTCTCGATATTAGAGAACCTGAACATTTTTATTATAAGAATATATATTTAAAGTAACTATCTAATTTTATATTATGTATAAATGTTCTTCTAAGAATGACTGTTTATCATAAGAGATGTTTTTTATCTTTACTAAAAGTAAGAAAAAACCTTTTATATTTCAAAATGCTTACTTTTTAATATATAGAAATGGAGCATTTACAAGAAATCCTATTACTAACTGAAAATGAGAGTTAAGGAGATGTTGCCTTGTATAAACTTACCCAACTTTCCATGTAATATTGAACAATGAAATTCCTGGTGTCAGTACCAATATAGTATTATTTAACCATGAATTAGGAAACAACAATTTTTCCTGAAAGTTATGTGATAGATAACACATAGAGACTAATTAAGTTGCTTTCAGCAACTTTAACGCATAGTTTCATCATTTCACAAAATTAAAGGTTGTTTTTAATTGCAAGCAACCACAAACTTTAAACAAGAATGAATCCCAGCTGAAAATTTGCAAATAAATTATGTTTAAACTCCATAACTTAAGTCTCATTTTTAAAAAACTTTCACAATGTAAAATAAACTCTGAAACTATTGAATTATTATTATATAGGTAATAAACATTCTTACCTAATTTTCTATCTTCTTCATTTTCTATTCATGTTTATTAGTTTAAAACATTTCAATAAATGTGCTACCAATATTGTAAAAATTCCTGTTATTTTGCTATGTTCAGAAAGGCATTTACTGTCTTTGTATAGCTTGGTTATCATTAAAATAAAGCTTAGTTAAGACTTTTTCATCTTATTGTAGAAACAAATTTCAAAGGCATAATATTCAAATTTATTAAAATACTTTCACTCTCACCCAGTTTCAGTAAAATAATAAGAAACTGAAAACTTGCTTGTTTTCTCAAAGTTGCCCAAGTGAGATTGTTCAGCATGTGTACTGATATTCTTTGAAACTCCAAATTAGAGCATGAGAGAATTTCTTTCTTCTCCTTTCTAATCCATTCTTTAAAAAATATAATTAAATTCCCTCAAGGCTTCTATTGATCCCAATAGGATAAAGTCAAAGCCGTTCTGCTGGGCATTGTAGGCTAATCATCAAATCATCCAGACATATATAGGTGTAATAATTAACACTACTTTGCATCCTTGGGGTTCATTGTAGGGTAGGGTTATAAAACACCACTTAAATGGTTAGAATAAATGCTTTTCCTTCTTCATAATCTCTCTTAAATGTATTATTACTCAACTACCCACATGACTTTTTCATTTGGATATCCCCAAAGTATTTAATAATTAACAATTAACATGTCCACTTTTGAAATTAAGATTTTCCTTTATCTCACCCTCAAATCTGATTTTCTTATACTGTTTCATGTCTTGGGGGAATAAATAGGGTAAGCAAGTCATAAACTAGGAAGACATCCTTGACACTGACTTCTCCCTCAACCCTATTGTTTCCACCAATGCCAAATTCTCTCGATTTCATCTGATAATCATGTCTTGAATACACCTATTATCTATGCAATTGTTTCTCAGGATTTTCATCTTACCCTTCAAATCCAAAACCCATTCAACTCTTGTCAAAACTAATTAAATAACCTAACTTATCTACAATTGATAATGCATTCATTCAACTCACTTTTTATACTGATACAGACCGATAGTTGTAAAATGTACATGATTTCATCATTTTCCCATATATACATACCCATCTCCCTGTTAATTGATAAAATATGTATTATTGTACATAGGATAACAACTAAAATTCTTATGTTTAAGTACCCATTCAAGGCCCACAGAGATAAAGAAAAAAGGCTTCAAGCCAATTCAAATTAGTTGAGTCATGTAAAATTTGAACCTACCTAATTTTTCAAAATTTGGATGAAGCAAAAAAAAAAAAGAAAAAGAACCCAGAGCATAAACACTTACAGACTAAAGCCTTGGAATGGAAGACTTGGAAGAGACACAGTGAACTCTGTCAGCAGTCTGATAGAAAAGATAAGATTTTTGGCCAGGATTCTAAAGAGCAGCCCACATTCAAAGCACCATGGTTGGCTGCTATCTTTGAGGAGGGTCCCACGGTTTCAGACTCTGCCTATCAAGAGATTTAACCCTATGAAATGTGCATGCTGCCCTTTTTTACTAAGAAGGAGATTAAGTTTCTAGCAGGATGACAATCCATAATTTTTCCCATAATGGTTACCATTAAATTGGACTTTTGATTTTAATATTGATATATTCTACCTTTGCTTCATTGGCCATGACCAGGGGTCCTCAAACTTTTTAAACAGGGGGCCAGTTCAATGTCCCGCAGACTGTTGGAGGGCCAGACTATAGTTTAAAAAAAAAAAAAACAAGAACAAATTCCTACGCACACTGCACATTTTTTAAGGGTGGAGACAGATCCAGTCATGGACACGGCGGCCTGCTGGATCTTCTTGCTTTATTAGTTTCCGGCTGATCAGTTCAGAAAGTTGGAGAGGGTGAGGCGGGAGAGGGTGAGGCCATTAGGAGTTTTGGACGGACTCTTCTGGGGCAGGCTTGGCAGGTACAGACTGTGGGACAAGACCTCCCAGGCCCCACTGGGAACTGGGAGGAAGACCATGGATCAGTGGCTGCTCACCCACACAGATGGAGACCTGGGACTCAGGGGTTGTGCCATGGGCCTGCATGCCCCAGCAGGTCACAGACCATCAGTGCCCTGGTGAGCTGGAAGGATATGACCAGAGCAATTCATGCAGTGACCGGGCTGGAGCCGCCGACTGGGACATGGCCTTGTAGTGGTTGCAGCTGATCACATAACTTAGGGGGTCAGCACGGGCCCTAGTGAGGGCTGGAGCCCCTTTGGGAATTGGGGCTCATAGAGGGGAGATCAGACAGGAAGGGAGGGACCGCCAGGCTGAGGAGAGAAGCCAAGGGTGTTATGTCTATCAAGACACAGACACCCTAAGACCAGAGTCCCAGCCTGGAGCCTCGGAGGCCAAGAAGAACCAGCCCTCGGCCCCATCCTGGCACAGGGGGTAGGGTCCTCAGGAAACACCCCCGCCCCCATCCAGCCCTTCCTGCCTGAAGGTCAGCAGGCTGTAGTTCTAAAGGGGGGTGACCAATGCCTGTGGCTGCTTGGGGTTGGGCTGCCCGCTTACTTCCCCTGGGAGGCAGATTTGTTGCCTTTAGGGATGAACTTCAGGGAGCTGCTGAATATTCAGAAGCGGGACTGCCCCCGCTTGGGGCCATCATTGAGGAACTCGTGGCCAAGCCCGGGGCCACATTTACCGCAGGACACCTTAAAGGCATCAAGCTGATTGCGCTCGGGCTGCTTGGCCACGCTGTCATCATGGATGGTCTCCGTGAAGGCTGGCCATGGCGACGAGTGCTCGTACTTAGAGCGGCTGGAGAATAGCCCGTAGCCGCACTTGGCACACACGTAGACTGCAGGTTCAAAGTGATTCTGGAAAGCCTCGCCCCAGAGAAGCTGCAAAAAGACACAGTGCCACCAGGTTCCCATCCCGCTCTCACCCTCCGACAGCTCCGAGTGCACCGACCCACCGCACATATGTTACTTTGAAGTAAAAAAACAAAACGGGCAAAAACACCCGGCAGGCGGGATAAATGTCCTCGGCCGGCTGCATGTAGCCCATAGGCCATCGTTTGAGCACCCCTGGCCATGACTGTACCTACCCCTTCATGAAGAATCACTTAAACGTCCTGAAATAAACTCAATATATAACTGCACACGTATTTTGATTTTACAGTTTTTTAATACTAACACTTGTAGGAGTTCTTGACTCCATCGTGTGACAGAGTAGAAGTGACTCAGTGGGTGTTGAATGCGACCTCTCCAGGAGCAGATGGTAAGTCTCTCCCCCACAGAATCACTGCGTGAGTCCAAACCGCCAAGCTTTTCATTAGAAGTTGACCACTTACCCCTTTGCACCACCGCGTACATTAACACTGCCATAGCACTGGCTGCATTACTAGATGTGCCTCAAAATCTCCGTGGCTTAATCTGATTAGACTTTTATTTTATCTTCATTGAAAGTATAAAGTGAGTTCCTAACTGAAAACGATTCCACATAAATGGGTAATTTGGTGTCCCAGACACTTTCCATCTTGTCACTCAGCCATGTTCCACATATGACTTCCTCCATTCATCGCTGTTCTCACAGGCACCGAGTCGGAAAGGGAAGTTCACTGTGAACCCTGACTACCAAGTGTTTATGAACCAGATCTGCAACAGACGTGTACTGCATTTGCTCCTAAACGGACTCATTTAGCTACAGTTACCTGAAAAGGGAGGTTATATGTCCAGGAAGAAAAGAAAATTAATTTGGTGACCAGCTAACGATTTATCTTACTACTCATCCTCTGGTTCTCATTTATTAGTTTCATCCCCTGTATCACAGACAGAATATGCTCAGGCTACCCCAACTGGAGTCAACGCAACTCCTATCTAACTGCATTCAATGAACAGCTGGCATCTCCAAGTAAGAATTGGCTGACGGTGTTATATCCTACAAAGCCATCTGTGGATGTTCTTGATCTGAGTTCTGAAATTATAAAATAAATTATTTTTTCCATGTGATACCTTGCACAATCCAATATACAATTTTTTTTTAGGATTTATCAGCCAGTCTATGGAGCCACATGGAAATTACAAAGGTCTGATTAACATGGTATCATAACAAAGGAACCTGCTTGCTGTTAGATGCTTTGCAAAATATTCAGAAAATCAATTTTTCTATAAACAACAACAGCAAAATGAAGAATTAGCATAGGCCTGTGTACTGCATTCTATCTCAGGTGAATGTGAGTTGTGTCTGATCCTCCTTCATGGTGGATCCACTGCACCGGGAGCCACATATCTTACACTAAAGAGTAAGTTGACATCGTTTAATATGGGCTCCACATCTGGCAAAGAACCTGCAACAGCAACTTCAAAATGGTTGCATTTGTGGAAATCTACCATTACTGTCTGTGATACACCTTATTTATGCAGACACCAGGATAGTGGTAAATATTGTAGCTGTTGTTAGGTGCCATGGGGTTGGTTCCAATTTAAAGGTCTGTTTTGTACAACAGAATGAAATACTATCTGGTCCTGTGTCATCCTGACAATTGGTGTTATGTTTGAACCCATTCTTGTAGCCATTGTCACATTATCTCAAAGGTGCATATGATGGATATTACCACCTTTGCATTCTCTGAGTCTCTAAAAGAACCAGTCCCTGACAGTCCACAAAAAATGCATGGCATATCCCTCTGGGTTACAAACTTTCCAGGGAATGAACATGAACGACCCCACAGTTCTCGGGGGGAAGTCCTGCTGGACCAAACTCCTGACTCTGAAAAAGACCAAGGAAGTTTTCAAGTCCTTGAAACTGCAGGAAAACCATGATCTAATGTCCCATTTATCTGGAGCAGCACAACAGGAACTGGATTGTTCAAAAGGTCAACAGTTTAAAACCACCGGCTGGTCCACAGAAGAAAATGAAGTTTTCTGCTACCATGATGATTTACAATTTCAGAAATCCACAGTGAATACATCTTATCCTGATCTGAAATTAGGGCAATAACCTGGATGCAAATACATGAAGATAGAACAAGAAATAAAAGCAAATGGGCAATGCACATGAAGAGTATTTTACTTCTGCTCTTTCCCAATTTGAAAATTTAACTTTTACTATAAATTGAGTGGAGGTTTACAGAGCAAATCAGTTTCCATTCACAATTCATAAACACTTTGTTTAATGCCATTAATTGCAATCCTCACAAATTAACATCACCTATCTCACTTCTTGTGTTTCCTAATTCCATTCTGTTCCTACTGAATTTTGCCGATTTCTTTTTCATTGTGGCAAACATAATATCAGAGTGAGAGACAGTGGCGTCTTATTTGTACAAATATGGAGAAAATCAAAGCTGCCTGTGCATTATTAGTTGAGTCAGTACAGGAAATCCTATAGGGTGGTAAATTTCATAATATAAATTATTGATTGTATTTGTATAAATACTGAGAAAACTAAAACCACATACATTAATAGTTGACTCAGTGCAGGACATTTTTATAGAGTAGTAAATTTTACAATATAAATTATTTGTTATAATGAACCTACAAAAGGCTAAGGTATCCAACATAAATCAAGAAATGCAAGACATCAAAAACATCTGGAATGTTGAACAGATGAGCTCAAAGTCTGCTGAGCAGTACCACCAGATACAGCAAGGAATTTCATAGGAAAGCAAAGCTTTCAGAGGCTATAAGTGCCAGGAGGAGACATTCTGTCGTGTTGTTGTTTGTTGCCAATGTTTCTCTTCCAACTCATAATGACCCTACATAAAACAGAATGAAATACTACCAGGTCCTGCACCATCTTCATAATTATGTTAATATTTGAGCCCATTGTTTCAGCCAATGTGTGAATTCATCACATCAGGGAACTTCTGGTTCTTTCTGACCCTCTACTTTACCAAGCATGAGGTCCCTCTTGACCTATAGTCCATGGCACGAGTATTGCCACCTTTGCTTCTAAAAATATTCTGACTGTGTTTCTTCCCAGACAGAACTGGTCACCCTGTTTGCAATGGTATACTCAGAATTCTTCACCAATATCAAAATTCAGATGCACCAATGACTCTGTGCTCTTCCTTACTCGTTGTCCAGCTCACACGTCCTTATCAGCTGCTCAGAAAAGTTGGGGCTTCTACAGGGGCACCTTTGTTCATGGGTCCTTTTATGGTTGTTTGTTTTAGGTCTTCGTTTTTGTATGTTTTTCTGCATAGGGGACCATGGTGTGTGGGTTTATGAAAAAAGTAATTGAAATAATAATTCCGTGGGAGCACAAAGGGAGGGTGGGGGAAATGGATAATCAACACCAGAGGGTACAAGAACGAAGAAATCATTCCAAGTTGATTGTAGTGGTGATTGCACTATCTTTCTTAATATGATAGAACTATTGAATTTATAATGTATCAATTATAGCCCACTAAAACTAATGTAAATGAATATAAAGGAAGAATTTTATGAACAAATGAATAAGAATACTCAAAAATATGTTTAAAAAGAAAACATTGCTAGGGAGAAGAATCAGAGATTATTTCTAATATCTGATGCTTAAGTACACAGTAAGGAGCCATGGTGGTGTAGTGGTTACCATTGGGCTGCAATCTGCATGGTCAGTAGTTAGAAACCAACCACCGCTCTATGGGAGAGTGACGGGGATTTTACGCCCCTAAACAGTTACAGCCTTGGAAACCCACAGGTGGTCACTATGAGTTAGCACCAACTTGATGTCAGTGGGTTTCGTTTGGTAAATACACTGTAAAGTAAAACCAGTACAGTAAAACAACAACAGAAATTATAACCTTGTGAAAAATGGGGATTCCAAAACACTTAATTATGCTATTGTGGAACCTTTTCTTCACAAGTTTATTGGATCATGTAACAAAGTGAAAGACCTCAATCAAAGAAAAATGTAGGATAGTAAAATTTTACAATAAGCTTAAAGTGAATCCAAAGAGAGATCTAATGACAAGGTGTTTCATCTCAGTCTAAGTACAGCTGCTAAGAACCACATTACTGTGTTTTTTGATGGGTATTAGGACTGTTCACATCACTAGTCTCTGGACAGTGTGAATTCACAGGGCACTCAATCCACATAGGGACCCTGCAAATGGATTTGGGGCTTCCACTATCGTGCACAGTTTTCCACAAACTAAGTATTTAGAATTTAGGCACTGGTATCATTCCTTCCTCCAGGTTTGGATCTTATTGGTTACAATCTTTGGATCACAAAGGCGGGTGTGTTTTTTCCATACAGACTTAGCTAGCTATTCAATTAGTTCGCTGCTTATTTGAGATAAAACTTTAGGACCTCTGGTGGTATTTGGCCCACAGAGTCAAAATCTTTGCCTAGCCAATAAAATACAGATAAATATCTTTATGGCATGCTCTAATTTCAGATAAGATCCATCTGATGTCAGCAATTATATTTCTTTTTTTTTTAAGATCATTCTATTGGGGGCTCTTACAACTCCTGTTACAATCCATACATCAGTTGTATCAGGAATATTTGTACATATGTTGCCATCGTTCTTTTCTAGACATTTACTTTCTAATGAATGCTTGGTATCAGCTTCTCTTTTTCCCTCCCTCCCCCTCCCCCTCGTGGCCCCTTGGTAGATTATACATTATAATTTTCATATCTCATAACCCTCCCCCATGGTTTCTGTTGTTCTTCCCCCTGGAGGGCGGTGTTTGGTTATGTGCCACTCATTAGGATTGGTTCCCCTTTCCTCCCCCTCACTTCTCCCTATCTTTTTGGTATCACTATTCCCATTCCTGTTCCTGAATTCCATGTGTTGTGAGCTTTATCTCTTATCTATACCTGTGTACAAGCTCCAGTCCAGTCCGGTCCATTGTCTTCAGCAATTGTGATGGGTGGAAAATGTCAGTTTGTTAGAACAAAGTGTTCTTGTATTGAGGGAGGGTATGAGCTGAAGTCCAAG